ATGATTTAAACATGAGTGCAGGTGGTGATCAGTGCAAACATGGAATGATGCAGTGAACACAGCGTAGGGTCATGTGCTAGTGGTGGGAACAGTCATACGGTTATTGTTCATGTGTCCGACAGCAGAGGGGAAGAAACTGTTCTTATGGTGAGAGGTTCTGGTGCGAATGGGCCGGAGCCTCCTGCCTGAGGGGAGCAGGTCAAACAGACTGTGTCCAGGGTGAGAAGGGTCAGCTGAGATTCGAGCTGCACGCCCCAGTGTCCTGGAGGTGTACAGGTCCTGCAAAGATGGGAGTCTGCAGCCAATCACCTTCTCAGCAGAGTGCACAACACGCTGCAGTCTCTGTTTGTCCCTGATAGTGGCTTCAGCGTACCACACGGTGATGGAGGAGGTGAGGATGGACTCGATGATTGCAGTGTAGAATTGCATCATCGTCCGTGTTGGCAGGTTGAATTTCTTCAGCTGCCTCAGGAAGTACATCCTCTGCTGGGCTTTCTTGATGACGGAGGTGATGGTGGGCTCCCACTTCAGGTCCTGGGTGATGGTGGTACCCAGGAAGCAGAATGAGTCCACAGAGGTGATCGGGGTGTCAGACAGCATGATGGGGGGGAGTGGAGCTGTGTGCTTCCTGAAGTCCACAATAATCTCCACTGTCTTCTGGGCATTCAGCACCAGGTTGTTGTGGCTGCACCAGGACGCCAGACGTTCAACCTCCCTCCTGTAGGCAGACTCATCCCCGTGCGAGATGAGTCCAATAACGGTGGTGTCATCTGCGAACTTGATTAGCTTGACAGACTGGTGGGTGGAGGTGCAGCAGTTGGTGTACAGGGAGAAGAGCAGAGGAGAAAGAACACAGCCCTGAGGGGAGCCGGTGCTGATGGTCCGGGAGTCCGAGACATTCTTTCCCAGCCTCACGTGCTGCTTCCTGTCCGTCAGGAAGTCAGTGATCCACCGGCAGATGGGATCAGGCACATTCATCTGGGAAAGCTTGTCTCGGAGATGGTCTGGAAGGATGGTGTTGAAGGCAGAGCTGAAGTCCACAAACAGGATCCTGGCGTAGGTTCCTGGGGAGTCCAGATGCTGCAGGATGAAGTGTAGGGCCATGTTGATGGCGTCATCTACATACCTGTTGGCTCTGTATGCAAACTGCAGGGGGTCCAGGAGGGGGGCCGTGAGGGTCTTGAGATGGGAGAGAACCAGGCGCTCAAATGACTTCATGACCACAGATGTCAGAGCCACGGGTCTGTAGTCATTTAGTCCAGTGATCCTAGGTTTCTTGGGGACAGGGATTATGGTAGAGGACTTGAAGCAGGCAGGCACATGACATGCCTGCAGTGAGGAGTTGAAAATGCCAGAAAACACTGGGGCCAGCTCGTTTGCACAGTGTCTGAGGGTGGCAGGAGACACACCGTCTGGGCCGGGAGCTTTCCGAGCATTCAGGTTCTTAAACTGCTTCCTCACATCTGCTTCATGAATATGAAGAGTTGTGGTGGGAGGAGGTGGTGTGAAATCCTCTTTTGTGTGGGGTGAGGAGGGGGTGTTGTAGGTGAACGGTTTGAAGGTGGTGATGGCTCTATGGAGGGGGAGAGGTGAGGGAATTAGTGTCCAAAGTGTCTCTATTGTTGGGGCCGTTGGAGGTGTGAAGGCTGCCTGATGGCTCGTCTAAACGGCAGTAGAAGTCGTTGAGGGTGTTGGCTAAGAGCAAGTCATCAGTGGAGTGGGGGGTTTTAGGCTTGTAGTTGGTGATATTCCTAAAACCTTTCCACACAGAGGCCGAGTCATTCTCTGAGATCTGCTGCTGCATCTTCTCAGAGTGCTGATGTTTAGCAATGTCCACTTCTTTAGTGAACCTGTACTTGGCCTCTCTGTAGCAGTCCCTGTCTCCGCTTCTGAACGCCTTTCTCTTTTCCAGCCACAGCTTTTTGAGTTTAGGAGTAAACCAGGGTTTGTCATTGTTATAACTCACCCTGGTGCGTCATGGCACAATGCTGTCCTCACAGAAGTGGATATAGGAGGTGACAGTGTCCGTAAACTCGTCCAAGCTGTTAGAAGCAGCCTTCATTGTGTCCCAGTCTGTAGACTCCAAACACGTGCGAAGCTCCTCCACAGCCTCGTTGCTCCACAGTTTTTTAGTCCTCACGACAGGTTTGGAGAGCTTCAGCCTCTGTCTGTACGTGGGGATCAGGTGGATCATGACGTGGTCAGAAAGTCCGAGTGAAGCGCGGGGCACCGCGCGATAGGCCCCGCTGATCGTGCTGTAGCAGTGGTCTAATGTCCTCTCCTCTCTGGTCGGGCATTTAATATACTGCTTGTATTTTGGAAGCTCATGGCTCAGACTGGCTTTGTTAAAGTCCCCAAGAGCAATGATGAGAGAGTCCGGGAATATATACCCAATTCTACTTTTTCTGCATAATCCATCATACAAAATGTAATCAAATGGAAAAGTCTCTTTTTAAAACTTGTTTTATTAGTTTTAATCTTTTAACTTTATGCATCAAGCAAAAATTTAATTATCTGCAACATTCTCTGACTGGAAGAAATTAGTTTAACATTGAAACCTATTTTCTGCACATTCCAGCACATAAAATAAAATATTTTTTGTGTTTACACTCAGTCTTTCAAATAGATGCAAGTAAAACACAGCAGAAAATAAATAAAGTCAAAGACTCAGCGGTCCTGTTGCTCTATTTTCACCTGTAAAGCAGGAGTGGGGCAGGCGGAGGGTTACCCTGGTGCAGGTGTGCCGCGGTCAGTGGAAGAATCCGCGAGTTTCTTTGTGAGTTTCCCATTACGTCGTAGCTACTCGGTGCTTGTTGGAAGTTTAGGGGTTTTTCGCTGTAAAAAGAAGTTTTCTTCCCACGCACAACGGACACTAATGTTTTTGTCACTTTTTATGGAATCAAACTCAAAGTAAGGTCAGTACTTCCACGCTTTAAACGCTGCACGCTCATACTCTCTCTGCACTCGATATATGATCCATTGTTGATCTGCACACAGCTTTTGTCACGAACGTCGCGCTCGCTTACGTCACTGTCGTGAGACATTCACGCAAAAAATCACGGTTTTAGTAACGCAGTAACGCAGCGTTCCTACGGGAAAGTAATGGTAATCTAATTACCGTTTTTGCGATAGTAATCCCTTACTTTACTCATTACTTGAAAAAAGTAATCGGATTACAGTAACACATTACTTGTGAGTCTACAGGACTCACCCAGCACACACTTCTTGTCCCGCTCCCTCAGGCAGGAGGCTGAGGGGCATTAAATGCAAAACCAGCAGACTGAGAAACAGCTTCATTCCAGAAGCTGTGAGACTTCTTAGTGCATAACGGACAAGAACTGATATTGTAGCACCGTAATCACTACTGACACTTTCCTGCTAAAATAAATGGTAAATGGCCTGTATTTATATAGCGCTTTACTAGTCCCTAAGGACCCCAAAGCGCTTTAAACATCCAGTCATCCACCCATTCACACACACATCCACACACTGGTGATGGCAGCTACATTGTAGCCACAGCCACCCTGGGGCGCACTGACAGAGGCGAGGCTGCCGGACACTGGCGCCACTGGGCCCTCTGACCACCACCAGTAGGCAACGGGTGAAGTGTCTTGCCCAAGGACACAACGACCGAGACTGTCCAAGCCGGGGCTCAAACCGGCAACCTTCCGATTACAAGGCGAACTCCCAACTCTTGAGCCACGAAAATATTCATACTTAAACTTCTATATCTATACTCCATACTGTTACTTTGGTTGTTGCACTTCACATATTTGTATTATTCTATTACTATTTTATTACTTCATTACTACATCATTCTGCAAATGTTTTTATGGAAACTGGGACCGTGGGTGTGTAATTTCGTTCCATCTCGTGTAAACACGCGATGAGAATCACAATAAGGCTTCCTTGAATCCTTATCGTTTTTCGGGGCTGGAAGCATCACTCTGCGCTTTGACTGAATTAAAGTATTGGGTAGTGGGATATAGCGCAGAGGGTTGCTTTTGATTTTCAGATTCAAATCGAATCTCAGGTTAAAATTTTCATTTCAACAACCGCCCAACAGCTAAAATAGTAAATGAGAGCAGGTAAACGGATTCCACACAAAGAAGACGTAAACACAGCGCGCGGACCCGATATATGGGTTGCGTCTGTGCTTTGTGTTTACGTCTTTTTTGTGTTAGGTTCTGAGCTGCAGGTTTTTTCTCTCTCCAACAAAAAACTGACTGAACTGACGAACTTCACATTTTGCTTCACATAAACATCGTCATGAATTCCCTCTGCCTTTAGCCGTTTTGCTTCCACAATGATAAAATCACACTTCTAGATCTCTCAGTGTTCTTCATGAACAGTTTCCCATCTAAAAATCTGTTTTCTGCATTATTTGCTTGCTTATTACCCACCGGTCTACCGTTGTTTACAGCGCTGTTGGATACTGGTTTTTTGTTTTTAAATGACTAATTTCTGCTGTTCAATACTGAAGAAATGTAAAAGTTTTTTAAATTATAGCTTAGCTGAGACTAGATTAGCTGTGTCTGTAATCAAACCTCTGTAACTTTACTCTGCTTCACTTCAGCAGCATCAGGTCATGTTCACATGTTGATTCGTGGTTGTCTTCAGTTTTTGATCTACTGCAGAACTCCAGGAAAATCTGCTGCATGTTTTTCTGTTTTATCCTCAGTTACTTTGACACAAACTCAAACTGCTGTGATGCTCACACCTCTGATGAAGTCTCGAAATTGTGGATTGAATCAATTCTGGACCTCATTGTAAGATATTAGTCTTAACACCCCCCTTTCCTTTTCTTCCTCCTTATCTCTTCATGCCGGCTTGACCGGAGGGCAGAAAGCGGTTGCCATGGTAATCGGGTTGTTGCCTGCAAAAGGTTCATCTCTCTGTATAAGATGTCCAGAGAGGTGCACAACAATAAGCTTAAAAGCAACAACTTTTATTTGTTACTGGGTGAGAATCAGACTTGCGACTCCAGCTCCAAAGGTGTGTAGTGTTGGGATTCAGAGATTTTATTGCTACCATATAATTTGCCTCATGAAGAATGTATTAATAACATGTTTCACAGTATCATTCATCAGTAATATTTCCTACAGTGTTTATATTGCATTAAATATGTCTGTCATCACATTGACCTTTCTCTTTTTACAGGTTGAGTTCATTTTATACACAATGCATGAATGTGCTTGGTTAGAGTTGATGTTCCATTCTAGAAGGTTTTAAGCTTCACTGGTGAGAGTGTCCAGATGATCCATGCTGAGGGGAGATGAGAACATAGCAGGTTAATTGCATGCATGCTTACAATACACATATTAATCTAGTAGCAGGTTTGAGTGAAGGCCTAAGCGTCTTCTACTTCAGTTTGAGACTGGCTGCTAAAGTACTTTACTTAGTGATTAATGAGGAGGGTCAAATTATTAGCTCTCAGAAAAGCTAAGACCTGAAGTTATTACCCTAAAAGGCAAGTAATGTAGAAAGGAGAAGTTATATGTCGGTGTAAGGTTATATGTACGTGATGTACCCTTGTCTGTACGAGTTGAACTTTTGCCCGTCTGTCACCATGTAGTTTTGAACTGTATTGACGTAGGTGTGATATTTTATCCTATAAAACCAGAACCCAGTGTATTTTTGTCAGAGCAATACATTCCGTATGCTGACGGTTGGTTGTTCTCCTGTGATAATAAAACTCATCGTTTGATTGCACTTTTCCGGAGCCTCCGTCGTTTGTTGTCTGGTTTAAAGTTGATCGATCTCGCAGCAGTAGTCTTACCACTACACTATCCAGCTGCGTAAAGTGTTCAGTATAAGGCAGGTTATGGTAATACATTGATCAAATTCAGTGTTAAATCTGTTCTTAACGTAAGGTATATCACTGTGTTTGCCTAAAAAGTTGATTCTGTTCATCTGGACGTTTCAGTGGGAGAAACGTTTCGTCATCATCAGGTGACGTCTTCAGTCTCAGCTGACTGCAGGTTTCAATCTTATAAACAGGACATTTGCATAATGACTGAAACCAGCCACTGAAGGAACAACGGGCTGGGAGGTCAGTTCCTTGATCATTAATGCAAATTATTCTGTTGTTCCTGCAAGTCTTTCAGTCCTCTCTGATGGAAGTTCTTGTTGTTGGTCTGTAGAAGAAGATTCAGGATGGCTCCTGGGCTTGAGCTTGTTTGGCAGAATCAGCTGCAGGGATGAACAACAGCATTATTTTACAAGTAACACAGACGCTGATCTGCTCTGGCTTATTCTCATATTTTCTTTGGCAAAGCTGTTCTCTGCCCTCGCTCTAACTGTGGTTCAGATTCTGAAAACATACAGCAGGCCGGAGTCGTCTCTGTTTTCTGAGGTGGCTGAGGTTTTTAAACATCTGTTGAACAATGCTCAGGTTTGAACTTTGAGAGTTTAAACAAGAGAGAAAAGTGTGAAAATGTTCACGTCTGTCTGAGAGAAATGTGTAGTGAGGGGTTTTACAGCCTTAAAACATCTATAATATTTAATATAAAAAATTTAAGCTGGCTACTTCGTGGATTTCACCTGTCACAGGTTTTTTTTAGAACATAACTCCCGCAATAAGTGATGGACCACTGTATTCTGGATATTTATAATTGAATTTTTATATATCAGAGCTACTTCTTATATTTTGTAAACTTTGTAATATGTTGTATTATTTAATTTAGTTCAGTTAATTTAGTTTAGCTCAAAACCTACAGGTTCGATATTTATTAGTAAAATAAATGAAATCAAATTTTAAAAGATGTCATATCCATCACATTTATTAATGTGTAACAGCTAGCATCGATCGTCTAGGTGTGGGTCCAGCGTTGTGAGACCGATCCCACGCTGGTGCATCCCCCTCGGTATGTCCACTTTTTACTATCCTATGTTAACAAACTGTGAAGTGCATCAGAGATACTTACAAGAGACGCCAGAGCCGCTAAAAATCTTTTCGTATCTCCATGGACACTGTGAAGGGAAAAAACAAAGTATTCAGCTGCAACATGAGTTTAAAATCAGTCAAACCAGAGTACAAAATTATGTGACTTATAATTACAATCAACAATATTCCACATATGGACACCACGGCGCCAGCTGCTCAGGCCCAAGGCTGGAGCCGAACAAAACTCCCTGATAACGACTGTGTGATGACTATTCTTCCCATCCCATGCAAGGCCACCTGGGTTGGCTGGAAGACTGTTTACTTAGGCTGATAGGGCGAAGGACACTGTCTCAGCTGAACTATGGACACGCACACACACATACACTTACACTGATAAGCACTCGCACATCCCCCCTCCCCTTCCAACGCCTTCGATGCTTGTTGCCTCCTGGGAACACGAGGCTGGTCTGAGCCCGCGCTGGAGAGTCGGCGCAGTGGCAGGATGGCTGCTGTGTTGCCTGGGATTACTCCTTTTCCCTACCCAACCCTGTTGCTGGTCACGTGCTCCATAATGTTGTGCTGTGGACATTTATGTGCTTTCTGTGCAGAGGAGTTTTTTTGTTTCCTGTTCTCGTGCTGTCCTCCTGTAGCCCAGCATGAGCAGAGGTCTCTTTTTTCCTCTTGTACCTTCCCCACTGTAGTGTCCATTTCAGTGGTTTTCTGTAATGCAACTGTTCTCTGACTTGTATCCCCATGTGATGTCTGTGTTGTGTGTGTAAGGTCGGGGGCGGGTTCATTCCACTGCAGGGCAACCTGCCACTGCATGTGGCGAATAAACTTTGAACTTGATACACGTTAGCTGAGACAGACTTACGGTTGCTGCCTCTGAATAGTTCGTCGTCAGCATCATGTCCTACAAACAGACACAAAATGTTAACGTTCATCGTTTGCTGTATGTGCTGCTACACTTCCTGTAAAGACAACATACATTGTGAGCTGAATGAAGCAAAACAGCAAACTTCAGTCACAAACTCATGTGATGTAGTGATCGTTCTGATGTGAGGTCATTCCTTTCATTGCTTATTGATCTGTTTCCAAATGGTTATGGTGATAATAATAATAATAATGGATTGGATTTATATGGCGCTTTTCAAGGCACCCAAAGCGCTAAGTGGTGCTGTCATGTAGTTAAGAGTGGAAGAGTATACACTGGGTTATATTTGTAGCCATAAATAGAAACATGGTAATTCCCCAGTGTTCTTGAACACCTCACATCAAAGGGTCCTGGAGAAAAGTGGAAAAAGGACCAAAGACTGAAAATGAGTCGATGTTCCTAAAAACATTTTTTTGTTCCCCACAAAAAAGGTAATCTCTCTCTCTCTCACACACACCGAGGTTATTTAAGGACAAACTGCTCCACATGTGAGGAAACATTTGAAGCTGATCTGTTTGTTTCTTTTATTTATGAACTGCAGGTTAAAATCAGCTTTAAGGTTTTCAGCTGCTGCTGTATAAATATTATTACCACATCACATAATAAGAGCTTATGTGTTAAAACTTAAATTAAAAGATAACGTTTACCAAAAACCAGAGCAGAAAAATAAAGTGTTTACCTGGTGTAGTGGTGTAAACAGCCAGAGATAAACCTGTAAACACACACAAAAGACCAAATGACATTTATTCAGTCAGTGCTTCATGTTTGATTCTTTTGATCTGTTGATTTTAACAGAGTTAAGTTAAAGAGCAGTGACTCCACAGAGAAACTGAAAGTCAAAAGTACGTCTGAGTTTTTCTTCTGTTTGTTTCATAAAGTGAAACTGAGCAGCTGTCACAGAGAGGAACCTCTGTCCTCTGCACACACCTGACAGCAGCCATGTTTCACCTGTCGGGCTGAGGTGTGAGCCACTGCAGGGTGGAGCCAAAGCTCACAGCTGGCTGTGTGGAGCCCAGCTGTTGTAAAGGAAGGAGCTCAGCAGCAGACTGAGCTGCACAAACAGAGGAGAGAGCAGGAACCAAAGATCTGCTGTGCTGCTCATTTAAAGGAGTCGCTCTTAAAGACCTCACTACACTTTATTTCAAACTTCACCACTAGTTGGCAGTGTTTCACAGGAAGTGTCAGGAGCAGTTCCTCCAGTATGGAAGCAGTAGATGCAGTATTTGGGATGTGAGCAGGTGCTGTGGTGGTTTCACTGAGCAGGAAGGTTGTGGGTTCAAACTCAGCTGGAGCCTCTCTGTGGGTTTGTGTTCTCCCACAGGTTAAACATGCGCTCGTTACATGAACTGCTGACCTACACTGACCACAGGGACCAACATGAGAGCAGAGCTCTCTGAAGGGACCTGAGTCACAGACTGTCTGTGATCCTGCAGGGACCAAACTGACAGACAGCTGCTGTCCTGTTACTGTCAGATTAAACATGTTAATGGATCGACTCAGACTGACTCGAGTCTCTGAGCATCAAACTTTATAAGACAGCAAAATAAAGATGTTACCGTTGATGCTTTTGGCTCCACGTCTGCGTCCTGTAAACAGACGTAACACAGACTGTCAGTGATGATGGATGAACTCAGTGGTTTGTTCTACATGCAGATGTGTCTGAGTGGAGACGGTGGAGGAAACGAGCTGCACACTATCAGCAAACATCAATCATTTCTGTTCTGCACAGAAAAACTACATTTATGTCCCAGAGGGCTCAAAGTTATTGGATCAGAAGCTGCAGACAGGAAAGTCTGACATCATGTCACATGACTGTGACCTTTGACCCCCTCATGGAGTCCTAATAGAATACTAAGTGAAGTGTTTGAAGGCTGACAGACTGGAGCAGCTGATATTCAACATTTCTTACATTCATTTCAATGATTTTCTTCATGTGTTTCAAATGTGATGATCAGTAACAGCTCCATGTCATCACTGTCTGAGACCAGGACAGTTTCATTTTTACAGGATACAAAGACAAACATTTTAGCTCCGCTCAGCAATAATTACACACAACAGCACACTGGACTTACTAAGATACAAGATCAGACCCACAGCTACAGCAACAAGAGCAACCAGAGACAAGACTCCTCCCACTGCACCAGCGATCGGAGGTCCACATCCAGGTTCCGGTGGAAGGTCATTGATGTCTGAAACACAGACACAAGCTTCAGGTTGAGGTCACTGTCAGTTATTTGCTGCTGTTTGTTACTGAGATGTAGATTTGAAGCCACAGTCATGATGGAGTCAGTGATCTGACAGCAGTGATGTGGAGCAGCAACAGGAGGTCAGTGAGAGGGGACGGCACTGAAACTGTTCATATCTGGAACTATTCAGTGATGCTCTGGAGGAGATCGCTGCTCTGCTTCTTCAGGGCTGCAGAGCTGGGCTACATGTGACATGCTAGCTTAGTTCTAGATGGACTGACATGGATCTGACCTCAGGACTGTGATCAGGACAGAATGATGCAGATCTGCTGGACACAGAGGAGCTCCAGGCTCTGACTGAAGAAACAGAGTTATGATCAACAACAGAGGCAATAAATAAAGTTTCTTACCCCAAGTCTTTGTAACATCCACACCAGTCGCCTCATGAATGACTTCACAGCTGAACTTTGACAGGTCAGACTTTAAAATCTCCACAGACTCTCTCCTCTGGAAGCTCTCATCGTTATTTGGAAGAACTCCTGAGCTCTTCAGGCCGTCGTCTGCAGTCAGAACACGTGTGTTCCTTCTGATCCTCACGATGATGTCTTTGGGGTAGAAGCCTGTGGCGAGGCAGGTCAGGATGAGCTTTGTCTCCACTTTGGCCTTCTTTGCAAACACAAACACCTCAGGTGGAGCTGGAAGCAGGAAATGGAAACTGTGTCACCACATGTGGTAACTGTAACACTGATTTAATGAATTTATCTGTGACACATTAAAGAATGAACCAGCTGGTACTGGATGTCTTATATGAGCTGTAAGTATTAAAGCTTCGGTCACACAAGAGGAAAAATAGGTTGGTAACCTCCATGAAAACGGGTTGGGAGTTGGTCGCACTGCTTTTCTTCTTTATTCTTTGTGTTGTGAATAATAACTCTGTGAATAATGACGCGTCACCAAAGAAGAAGATATCTAATTGGCTGAGAAAAACTAAAAATGTGACTGGCTGAGTTTACCTCATTTTATTCTGAGAAGCTTCGAGGAGCAGCTTCCATAAAAGACACTTGATTGTTCATTTATTTATGACAGTGGTTTAATTCTGTACTCTGATTCTGGTCTGCAGAGATCTCACAGACGAGCTGCAGATACAGCTTTCACAGAGTGAGACCTGATCTGTTAAAGTCTGATTTCTAGTTTAAACCTGCAGAGAGGCTCTGCTTCATTTTACAAACATGTCCACATGGATCACACAGGCTGCAAACATGCAGATGTTAAAGTGACACATTTATTGAAGGAATATTTGGTTAAATGTGTGAGCATATTTCTGCCAAACAAAGGACGTTACATACAGCTCATTTATACTTAACTTTAAAAATAGAATCAGTTATTTTTTAATTGTTCTTTTTCATTCATCCATTTTTTTTTGCTTATCCTCCTCCAACTTCTCTTGGAAAACACCAAGGTGTCCCCAAGCCAGCCGAGATATATAATGTCTCTCCTGTCCTGGGTCTCCTCTGGACACCCACATCTATGCTGATCTCACCTGGACCCACGACACCAACACCCTGGCAAAGAAGGCCCAGCAGTGGCTGCACCTCCACCTCAGGAGGTGTAAAAGTTAAAAAATAGACTAGACAGCAATTTAAAACAAAACATTATTGATACTTTTTAATGTGAAATGTTGTCACACACTGACCTAAAAATTTCATGAATTTATAACTTTTAGAACTAAAACTACTCTACGGGCTCCACTAATAATAAATTTTACAACAACCTTTTTCATGTCATACATACATTTCTTTTTGAGCTGCTGTTGATCATAATTCACAAACTTGCTCAGCCAATCGATGCACTCGTTCTCCAGGTATCCCTTGGTGTAGTCATTCAGCACCTTGACTTCGTCCCACTTCCTCTTGGTGGGTTGTGCCTCGGGAGTCTGAGCAACCCAGACTCCATTTTTAGCATCGAAGGACAGGAAGTCATCTCCATCGTAGTTGTACATGTGCACGCCTCGGACAAACCTGAGCGTGCCGTCAGAATTAGTTTTACCCTCACAGCCCACCATCCACTGAAGAACGTGAGGGTCTGAAAGCAGGAGGGTGAAATAAATAATGTTTAAATAAACATCAGAGGAGAAAATATGAACATAAATCAAATCATTAAAAACTTTTTAATTTAAACCAGTAAGCAGGAACAATTTGTGAAGGAAATTGCCGTCCCGGGTTTCCTCCGTGGCGTGAGCGATAAGCAGAGTTTTGTCCTTTCCTTCTAAGATTCCTAATTATTTAAAGTAACACTCAGGTATGCCGTTCAGCTGGGTTAGTTACAGCGCCGGGAGCAGCTTGGGAGAACAAGGAAACACAGACTGCTTCAGGTTGCCTTCCCAAATCAACTCAAAGGTTTATTTGATACACAGCAGTTTATATAGATGAAAAAAGGTTCGTGTGTCAGCTTTCCCAGTTCAAACCGGTACAGACCAAGATAAGGGAGCGTCTTCCTGCCCTTGGGTGAAGAAGCATCCTTTGTGTAGTTTATTAGTTCAGCTACAATTGTGATTATCTCAGCGACATATTTTCAAGGCACAAAACGAAGAGTTCTTACATTAGTGAAATCTGAAACAAACCATTTGGCCTTCAACAGGCGTCTAAAAGATTAAGAAACTAATGTAGCTGAGGGAGTGATCTCTGTGGTATTTCAACCTTGTACCAGCCTGTGATTCTCACACATCAATTCTTGGGTCAAAGAGAAAAACACTGAAACAAAGGGGCCTTATTGAATGACAGAGTTTTCCTGCATGATGTCACTATAAAACAATATCCAGTAAATGCTCCCATGGTACTAAAATACCTAACAGTTCCACTCTTTTTTTTATTATTATTTTTAAAAAAAATAATAACTCAAATAGAAAGGAAAAATCACAAATGTAATAATATAATATAAAAAGCAAATCATAAAATGTAATAGTTCACAACCTAATGTTCAACATACACATCAGGAACATCATTGGTAACATCTGGCACATCCTCAGGATCAATTTGTGCTAATTGCAAATACATTGAAGTAGCTGTACTAGTAGCTATACGGGTTATCATTGAGCGTACACAGGGTATCACACAACAGGCAATAATCATCAAAAACAAAATAATACATGCTACAACTGTTACAAAGGCTACAATGAGTTCCTTCCATTTTCCAAACGTGTCCTGCATCCACTTGTCTAGCCACTGACCGTGACCTGTATTGGCAATTAGTTCTATCTGCAATGCTTCAAGTTTATTCATAGCTTGTGTGAATGGACCGTTAGGGGCGGTATTATTGGGAATGAAAGTACAGCATACATCAACGGTTACTAGACCACAGGTACCGGTCCAATTAACAGGTAAAGCTAATCTAAGAGTATTATTGCACAACCAATAAGCATGTGGGATTGGTCTAGTTAGGCGCGTGACCATGTGTGATTTAACTAACTCCCCCCAGTCAGTGTCATTTAATACACCGTCTGGGGGAACAATGATCGATTCTCTGCTCGAACTTGAACTGTGTGTGTGTTCCTCCAGATATGATACAACTTCAGCCACAGAGACAGCTAGCCATGTCTCATTACAGCGTGCACCTGGGGAGTCAGAGAAGAATGTATAGTTATCCTTTGTATAATCTATGTGTGTGTCTGGGCCAGTTAACTTTAGTCTGCGCAGATATATCATACTAGTATTAAAATGGAGAGGGATCTGTCCTAAGGGCAGTGAGGGCTTTAACCTATTCTTAGGGCGTTTCATTGGGGCGCAGATCCCTGCGGTGTCATTAGATAACTTCAATAATTCGCCTAATGGAGTCTCAGGGTTAGTTGGTGTGTGTGTGTGTCTAAGTAGGCAGTCGAGAGGGCTCAGAGTCAACTGTAAAGTGTCTTTAAAGAGAGCATTATCTCCGCCGATTTTCTCTAGTCCCTCAGTGAGGGGGAAACCGGATATGGGGTATCCTACTATTACCTGTTCTGGATTAGCCTTTGAACAGACATAACACTTACTGTTTCCTAAATCACGAGCGGCTGTTCTGGCATTTTCATACCAGGCGTTAGCTCCTGTTCTAGAGGGCGCATAAGATGGTTTATTAGTGGCGTCTATGTTGCTATTTACTGATTTTAGGGAACGTGAGGAGTGCATTAAGTAGGTGTCTTGCAAAATGGAGCATGAGGTATAGTCAGCAAAATATGACCTGCAGAAATGTGAACATGGTTGCAGTTTACAATACAAAATAGCAAAGAGAAATCCTAAGGTTAATGCGATAGATATGATAAATAACCTAAATATATAAGAAAGTATATAAGAAAAACAGTTCTTCAGTTGTCTCCTGGCCTGGTCCCAGGTTCGAGAGACATTGAATGAGCGTCGTATGATGACAATGGGCATTTCATTTTCTCCATTATCAGGATGAGATGAGTCTGGCTTTATCAGGTTAGACATCATGTGGTACTTTTGGCTTTCTGTTCCTGCTGGATGTTTGAGTACCTTGTTGTTGTTCAGGTGAAGCATCAAAGAGCTCTCTGAGTCTTGGCTCTTTCAGGCGTTGTGTGTTAATCAGTGATTGTGTGTGTGTATGTACATTGGATCCGGGCGCTGGCTCGCCTGAGATGTCGTCTACCCGTGTGTTTATTTGCTCTAGTTCCGGGCGCTGGCTCGCCGGAGATGTCGCCTGCTTGATCCGACGCCTGAGATGGTCCGATTGGGCTGGTCTTAACCCTGCTGGCATGAATCCACTGAGGTTGTCCGTCTGTGAGGATGCTGGTTCTTCGTCACTGCCAGTACAGTCTGGGGCTGGAACACGCGCGGCCTCCCAGAGAGTCCTTGGTTTTAGTGGCTTCTCCAACATGCGTCTCCTTGTCTCCACTGGTGGAACTGTGGAGGGGAAAAGCTGAGAGAGACAAACTTTCTGATAGTTATTATTCAGTTTTTCTACCAGGTTGTGAACATCAGTGGACAATGCAAT